TACCTGTGCCACTGTGCAATTAAAGCGGGGATCACTTTATAAAGCATATGGTTGTCTAACCACTATACCATATGCCTGAAACCAATATAAAACAATACTGAATGTCAACGGCAATTGAAAAATGAAGTAAAAAACCCCCCAGAGATCCTTCCAAATCATTTTTTTTCTATCTCAGGGAAGCAACACACTACCCACCTACTTGGAGTACTGTCCCTTTGGGGTTCCCAATTATCATGCAGCTCTTTCTAGTCTAGACTGTGAAAGGTTAAAGATAAATGATGATGCCCTCCCCTGCATGACTCTGAGCTTTCTTTTGCAAGGAAGCAATAACGGAGACTTAGCCATGGGGAAGGAAGTACCACTTCCTTGTTACAGTTTGATGATGCTTTTCTTTGTAACTTGTTCAGTACGCTTGTCCTAATTTATGATTTTTTTTTTTACCATCTGGTTTATTTCTCTTATTGTTTTGTTTTGTTTAGTTTTTAATTTAAACTTTTTTTTCAATTATAGTTTACATTCAATCTTATTTTGTATTAGTTTCACTCACGTGTATAGCATAGTGGCTAGATAATAATATACTTTAGAATACCCCCTCACATCCCGTATTTCCAGTGCTCACCTGGCACCATAGTTAAATATCATTGACTATATTCCCTATGCTGTACTTTACGTTCCTGTGAAGTTTTTATAACTACCAATCTGTACTTCTCAATCCTTTCATCTTTTCCATCTAGTTCTCCAACTCAACCACCCCTCTGGCAACCATCAGTCTGTTCTCTGTATCTATGAGTGTGTTTCTGTTTTGTTTGTTCATTTATTTTGTTCTTTAGAGTCCACAGATAAGTTATATCATATGGACTTGTCTTTCTCTGACTGACTTATTTCACTTAGCATTATACTTTCTAGGTCCATCCATGCTGTAGCAAATGGGTAAGATTTCATCTTTTTTTAATGGCAAGGAGTCATTTTTTTCATGTTAGCAAACTTGGTTGGATATGAGCTCCAAACTCTTTTTCCCCCCCACTTCCAACTCAGTTTGGTTCAGACTTTTTACTTTTAGGTGAGGTGATTTGAGTCTGATCCATGCATACACAGTTCAGGAGTCAGCCAGACATGTGGCATGCAAAATTTGGGTAATCCTTTCTGTCTCTTTTCCTACCACAATTTCCCCTTTCTCCAGTGACCATAGTTGCCTTTGCTTGATGCTCTGTGTATGAAAACTGAGCCTGCCCTCAGGCTAGAAGAGAAGTAGGCAATTGGAGTACTTACTCCATATAATAATTCCCTTCCTCATGTGGACCCCTCCCTGGAACCCACTGTTCTTCACCCTCTTGTACCTCCATCGAGTCCTTCTTATATCTGTCCATATTTCATATACAAACTGTGCAGAGTTTATTCTATGTGTCCTGTGAGGATTATGTAGAGGGTTTATCCTATGTGAAGTAGGTTCTTGGCTATTACTGGAAGCTCGATCCATATTTTAAACCACCTCTCTTTTTTCTTTTCATGTTTCTAGATGTCCTTCTTCCCACCATTATAAATATAACATCTCCTTCAAAATGCTTTCATGTTTGCTGTAAAGTCTGCGTTTCTAAACATTGAAGGGGCATTGCAGGTGATTTAGCTGAATCTCTTCCATGCAGATGAGAAAACTGAGTTCTCGAAGCAAGTAATTTACCTACAGTGAGGAGTGGCATTGCTGGGAAAGACAGAGTGATCTGGGAGAGATGACAGTTTGCCCGGGACAGATGCATCTTCTAAAGAGTGAAATGTAACTTGTGAAGCTTATTGTAAAGAACCGTGCCTCTCTGCAGCCGTGACATGGGCATTCTAGATGTAGAGGCTTGGAATGAGGAAGAGAAAGGATATCTTTGGAAATCTTGTCTGAAACTGCCTCAGATTTTAGAAACATCCATTTGGAAAACACATCAAACACGTCTTTTTCAAGTGAGTTGTCACATTGCATCACCGTGGCTGGTGCTGTTTCAGTCCCCATCTCCTAAGCAGCTGCGCTTGTGCTGAAATGGAGCTCAGAGCTTGAGGTGGAGGATGACGTATTGTGAGAAGCCTTTACCAAAAGGTTTACCTCTCAGATGTTGTTTGCCTGTCTGTTTAAATAAGAATATACAGATTCCTCCCCAATGCAATGTCCTCCTTTCCCCCATGTCTTCCTTCTTTTCTACTCTATCAAAACCAGTGTTTGAAAAGTTTGACCTCAGTCTAGTCCCTTACCAGTGTTCACTCTTTATGTCAAAGCTGAATCTAGTCATCTTATTCATCAAGATTCCTTAGTTCATTGGATGGTTAAAACATCTTAAATTTATGCTTTCTGAGTTTTTATTGTTGCTGTTGTTTAGATTCCAGAGTCATAGTAGAAAGTTAAGGAAGTATGGCGGGGGAGGAGGAGGGTTAAGCCAAGTCAATAAAAAAACTTGAGAAGGGGAATATTTGAATATAATATTAAACATAGTGCCTGTAAGTAGAAGAGAAGGATAGTAAAGTATAAAATACTTTGTCTCTAAATTAGATATATTTGACATAATTTGTGGATAATTGTGACTTAAAATAGAAAGGTGGATTTTAAGAAAGCGAATTTATTTAATTTTGGCAACTTTATATTTGGCGTTACTCCTCCAGTACCATAGGCTAACCTGTGAGGGGCAAGATGCTGTCCTGTTAGTATTCCTGGAACTTGAGAGCCATCTGTTCATCCAAAGGACTGCAGATTTAAACAAAAGCAACCAAACAAACCACCCAATTCTTATTAAGTGAGTAAAGAGGGGGTTGATTTATAGACCTGGAAAGATGTGTTTCCTCACATGTAACCACCACAACACACGAAACTATGAGATCTCTTCCTGCTCAGGGGCTAAAGGCCCTCTTAATAAGGTGGGTAGGATTTTTCAGGTTCAATATGTTAGTTGAATTCAGCATGTTTAGAAGGACTTTACTGCAGAGGGTAGATCCAGGCGGGCACACCTATATATTTGTGGGATGGATGAGTAGTTGGGTGACTCTATAATTCATTGTCAGTGGTAATAGCATCTAGTGACTCTTCTCTTGGGTGGGTTCATGCCAATAACCCCATAGGTACAAGGCTTTTTATTTGGAGATCAGGAAGTAGCAATTGGACACAAAATGTTTCTCCCTGAAATCAGTTATTAAAAATAAGCTGTTGCCATCACTAACTTTCTCACTTTAAATAGAACTGACACTATGACCAAATAATTGGTGGTAATTGTAGGCCTGGTGTCGGATTGAATAAGCCACTCAAACTGCAAACCCTGTAAAGATGTAGTTAGTTTTTCTCTATCACAGGATAGGACTTTCATATCCTTTAGTACTAGATTACTGTTGCTTATATTTTTCTTCAATATAATATTTCCTGCTTTTTAATAAAAGAACTGTCATTTCTAATAAAAATTTAAAAAAATCACCCAGGAAAATAACACAATTGATAGCTATCACAAGCTGAACACACCAAATAAGTACACATCTTCAAAAACTTGCAATAGAATCTTGACCCTATTTAACCTGGGCCTTATCTTGGGATTGTAACTCACCATGGGATGTGGGAGAGTTCCCATTTCTGAGGTTCCTCAGTCTCATCCCCTTGTGTGCAGAAGACCTCTCCCTTTAAATGAGTAGTGGACTTGCTTGATCTTGAATAGAAGCTGAACACCCTTTTCACCTTTTGGGGAATGCAAATACATTTATTCTTTTGGGCCCATGTGACAGAGTAAATTTACAATATGCTACACCCTTCCACATTAGACTTGTATACATAGGTGCCCTTTGTCATGTGATTGGTAGTCTCTCCCAGTATAGGGAAGAGTGTGTATTTCTTTATTGATGTTAAGATTGGTCATATAACTTGCTTTAGCCAATGGCATATAAGTGAAAGTGGCAGTACTATGCTAGTTTTAAGTCAGAGCTTCAAAAAGAATCATGTATTTCAGCTTATGCTCTTGCACTGATGACACTGCAGAGGAGAAAAACATGCCCCTTATAGCCTCTGGTGCAAGTAAGATGAGAGACTCATGGAGCACACCTGATCCTGGTCTTGAGCTTTGGGGTGGGTTGTTATGCAGCATTATTGTGGCAAGAGCTGACTATCATTGATCTCTAGCAAGGCATGGAATGAGCCTGTAACCTAAGTGTGGCCAGTGAACTGCTTTTGACTGAGTCTTTGGTCCTTGACAGAAAGGCAAAGATGGGGGATGTCATAAAGGCCTTCTTCCTGGTGGTTATGACTGAATTAGAGTCGGGCAGCATGGCAGGGAGCATCTGTGGAGCCATGGTCAATGGCTGGAGTCAACAGTGCTGGTGGTGGGTCCTGAGTGGACTGTTCTTATGACAACGTCTTCACTGTGCCTCACTGCCCTCAGAGTTCACTCAAGTTTTCTTTGCCAGGCTTTCTATATTTCTGAGTCACTTGATATCCTTAGTGTAAATTTCCTTTCTCCTTAGGTTTACCAGAAATATGTTGGCTATTTGCAACCAAAAATCCTGACTAGTATACCGTGAACTGGGAATGACCTGTTTTTCCTATGATTATATCCCCTCTGAATGGTTTTATAATATACTAGTGCCTGGTGCACGAAATTTGTGCATGGGGCGGGGGAGGGGGTGTCCCTCAGCCTGACCCTCTCCAATCTGAAATCCCTCAGGGGATGTCTGACTGTGGGCCTAAACCAGCAGTTGGACATCCCTCTTGCAATCTGGAACCACTGGCTCCTAACCATTCACCTGCCTGCCTGCTTGATCACCCCCTCCCACTTTTTAGCTTTGCCTAGAAGGATGTCGGGAAGATGTCTCGGTCTAATTATCATATTACCCTTTTATTAGTATAGATATAGCAGTCCTAGATGGTCTCCTATAACCCTCCCAATACATCTATGCACAGTAGAGTAGAGTAGTGAGGAGCTCTTACTCCATGCTATGGGGTTTGATCTCTGTGCCTTCAACTGCCTATATTGTTAGGCAATCCATTTAACCTCTCTGTGCCTTAGTTTTCTTATATGAAACTAGGGATAAAAATAATACTACGAACAGTTTGTGTGTAGCTGAAGGAGACTTACTACCTGATCCATGATACATTCTTAATAAGTATTAGTTATAAACAGTAATAGTAGAGATGATGAAATGCAGTTGCTAATATAGTATTATCCTGTGAGATAAGAATTGTTTGTGATGCTTGTTCTAACTTCTACAGATATACATGGTAGAACCGTGATCTACTCTGTTTTATTTTAGGTTTCCATGGTTCCAAAGCCTTTTATGAATTAACATAATTCAGTGCTTGTGAAACTTTTGTTCCACATGGCTGGCTCATATGTCCACAGCACTCTAATGGCCACACCCAGATTTTGAAGAGGCTCTTCTTGTGTTGGGGTGATTATATTCAAACCCACATTCATTTGAGTAAACATAAGAAGCTTATACTTCACCTCATCTGCTCTCTTTCAGATGGAAGTTGTGCTGTTGTCCTTTGGGTGTCATATCTCTTAGAAATATTTGGGTGGGGAGAAGACTGATGATAATTATTAGATAATCTAGTTGTTACTACAGGTTGGT